GAATAATCTATGATTAAGAATCTATATAAGGCGTTTTGTTTCCTTTACTTTAAAAACCGCAACAGGAATCAGAGTCAATTTCACCACTGGTAGTTCTAGCAGATAGTTTTGGAATGTCTTTGAATTTTGAGATCTCTTTTTTACACTCAGTTGTTTTATTAGACAGTTTGAATAATTAAACGAGTAGATTACATCCGCTAACTTCGCTGTGTTGATTTAATTTGTACAGACAAATAAATAGACCACTGGCTTTTGGAAGAGTGTAATTTGGTCCCGTGAGTGAGCCACCACCCGGTCGCCAACTGTTCTCTCTGAAAGTCATGAACGGCGGCAAAATCAAAGATCTAGTTGATGAATTTATTTTCTATATGTTCGACATGACGACGATATTGGCAGGTGCTTGCGGGCAATCGTAAACAAACGTTCTTTCGTCGCTTAGCGCTTCCTGTCATAATCGCAATCATTAGAACTTCCTCTAAGCGCGAACCGACGAGATCCAATACAAGGGAGCCGTTCTACATTTTCCTTACGAATTCAAATTCGAGATAAACTGCTGGACCAGCTGGCCGCATAAATCCGCAATTCTACTGGCACATTTTTAAAAATATATTATACTTATTGAACTAAGCAACCAATCCATCACGTAACCGATATCACTACTTTACAACCTCCCATCCCTAAGCTTCATGATGGCGACTTTGCACAAGCCCAGGAAACATGACAAAATTCTCAATTCCAAAAGGACATCCCATCTCATCGTGATCACCGATTAAATTAACTTTGGAAAATGTGACTGGACATTACTATGTAGAGACAGAAGGACAGGTTGTTCAAGTTCTTGACGTTTTCGTTGCATGATATGAACCAACTTCTGAAACTGAAAGAAGCACATGACTACGGCCGTCGTTGCATTGGTTGGCAGTAGTTTGTAGCAAAGTGTAACTCAAGATTTCCACCTAGTCCCCAACTGAACGTTCTTTTCGTTTAGGCATCAACCACCTTCCCGAGTTGGACTAGTGACGACTGATACGTAGAAAGACGGTTACAGTTAAGGAATTCATGTAGATTCCCAGCTACAGCCCAAATGAACGTTCGCTCTGACCACGCCAAGTTTTTGTGGGTTATTCCGTATTTCTCCAACGATCAACCATCAGGGTTGAGGTTTGCGACTTATATACAGAGCTAAACTTTCGCCTCCAGTTATAGTCAAGTTCGAAAACAAAAGAACACCGAATAAGAACACCTAGAGGTGTAAATAGTGACTACCGGCTTCTAACTGGTACCACGCCAGCGGTCTCGTTATTTAATACAACAAATTTTTAGGGCCCTGAGCTTGTGTATGTGGTAAATTATTTTCGAGTGAATGAAGCCAAAGGTCGTGCTTTACTCGTATGAGCGCCTAGTCAACTAATTTAGATTAAGAAAAGCAAAAACAAGACGTAGTCTGGATGTCTAACAGAACATTAGGCCCTAATGATATCATAGAATAAGCATGGGACTTCGATTTAGTCATATTTCCACTTTTGGTAGTACTTCAGTAATTCATACATTACATCACTTTACTACCTTATTTCAATACTTCACGATTTTGAAGTGGTCGCCAAGAAACTCCTTATCCGAAATCCCATTGAAACGGCAGAAAGTTGAAGCTTGCATCGGGTTGTTTGAAATCGAGCTTTCAAAAGGAGTTTTACAAACAATGCTTTTCAAAATTTAACCATCCGTTTAGAAATGTATGTAGAAATAACTGCTGTACTAAGGCGCTGCTCCCAATGAAAATTTAATTTTCCAGGAAACATCTATTCCCTGCTGCACAGAAAGTGAAGTCCAGCGAGAAAATCTGGAGCAAGTGTTACCCATGTCGACTGATTAGTGACATTAAGATGTAGAAGAAAATACGAGTCTCTTCGTGCCTTTCATCCTCCCGATGTTCTTAGAAGAAAATGTGACACTCATGGTGACCCTTGTCCTTACGAAGGTCGTAGAAGTAATTATGATGTTACTCGTTCCACTTGAACGATAGGATTCCATTGGGCAAATGCGGGTAGCCGATGTAATAGGAATCAACAGAAGCCGTGCTGGTCCATGCTCTGAGAATTCATGGGAGTGCAGGTGATATAGGTGAGAAATCTATCATTTGAGCAGCACAATGTTATTTCGTTATTTGTACATTTCACCGACGTTTCCAAAACTGCTTTGAACAAGAAGAGAACTCTGCTATAACTCAACACTGTACAGTTTACATTAAACGAAAGTTAAGTCTCTTTCGACCACGTGGTTCAGCAATGAGGACTTTTTTTCGTAGTCAGGAAGGTATTTCGGAGACAAATTCTTTGCTCGTTTAGGGAAACTACTTATTATCGAACTGAATTGATCGGCTTAAATTGCGCCGGATACGGTAGATGGAAAATAGGGTGACGAGAAGATTGAAACCAGTAATTTTTTTCAACTAGTTGAAGTATGATGGGGTGGATATCACAGTGGTAGTGATGTCCGTCATCACGAGCATAGTGGTAGTTCGATTTCGCTGCGAGCCAACGAAGCACCTTATCCCTACGGGGTCGCGAAATTGGTACAGGACTTGTCTGGGAAATAATCACTTTCTGCAATCCAATTAGGAACGTTCCTGCTCGGCTATCTCAGGACTTCAGGAAGAATTGCTTGGTCAGCATTCTACAACATTCAATGTGAAATGGACATCCTCAAGCAGCAACCGAAGCCACACGTAAGGTTGAAAGAACTTCGCGAAAAATGGATGCGAGGAAATTAATTGAATGTGGGAAGTATTGTGATCCGCACAGTAGACGTGAAAACGGGTCAAATAAAGTAAAAACAAATAATTGAAAACAAATAGAAGCATGAGGCCGAAAGAGACTGAAGGACTTTAAAACTAATCATTGAAGGAAAATAATCGAGAAATCAAAAAAGCTAGTTCTTCGATTCGATAATGGTTTCGACAAACTCTTTTATCTTTAGCTTAATGCAAATGACATTCTATCGTTGCAAAATACCTGATGAACGTGGGCGAGGTCTTCGAAAGCATGTGGTGGGATTTCACAATTCAACTCCTTCAGATGAACGATATGGAATCGGGTGGAATTGATGAAAAGCTGTGGCTCGATTACCGTCACTCCGGTCACTGTGAGGAAATCCAGCTGTAACGATGTAAATTAGACATGGATTAAATTAGAAGCAAGAAAGATAAAGCTCTCCGCGTTGATCAATCCCTGAGGAATGCGACATGCATTCGACTTCATTAAGCATCGCTAGAGATGACTGAAAGCATATCTGGCCTATAAAATAACTCACGGTGGTCTACTGACGTATCCCGCCGTTGCGGTTATCCTCTAAGACATCTCGGGCACCAATTTACCGATCCCGGAAGAATAAAAGGCCTGCTGAATGTGGGGCGCGAGATCGAACCCATGGGGATTGCAGGGTGCCTCTAACCACTGCACTATAGATGCCCCGTGGATGAAATTACTTGAAAAAATGAGGTTCCAAGCTTGCATTTCAGAAAGGAAAAAATCTTTTCTGTTTCGTAAATTAACTGAGAGCGAATTCAAGAGGTAAAAACTAGAATTTCTCCGAAGACCAAAATGTAGTGAATTGAAATAAGAATTCCAGACTATGGTAAGAAGTTAATGTAAATGGATTTAAAATGGACTTCTGACTTAGTGACATGTTGTCACATAGTAATATCATTGGTCTTCGCCTAAATCTAAGAAAAACGATGTTCATGAGGAAAGGATTAATTTCGTGCGCCCCATTGACGCTTAACAGAATGAATATCTCCGAATGCATGACTCATGTATATCTAGGTCGTGAAATCAATATGATTAATGACTTAGCTCCGGAGTTGTGCAGCAGGAAGAGAGCGGCTTAGGCAGCTTCTGGTAGTGAACACCCGATTCCATACCCACCTTTTTGACTTCACTATTTTTTCTGCCTTAACGTATGCGTCGGAAATCTAGTCGCCTGCGTAAGCACGATGAAAGATCACGCAAAGTTATTGAACGCGTAGTCGAAAGGACGATGCTAGGAGTATCCTACTTCAAATAAGTATAAAAATGGATCCTAAACTTTGACCTACGTCAACGATCAGAAATCAAAAGTGCCGTAATATACGCAAAATTGACAAGGATAAGATGTGTCGCACACGTAATACATATGAAAGACAACTGAAGGACAAGAGTCTTTAGTAACTGGATTCCTCAAGATGTCAAGTGTACTGCAGAAAAGTCATCGACCCGATCGTCGAAGATCTTCACGAGTACCCTAGAAGAAAGATGCTCAACAAGTTCCTGGAACGAGCAGAACCCACTGGACTACTCTTGCATGCGACAGGGAAAATGGAAGATTTGCTGACGACCGCTCGAATCACTCTTGACAATCGATGGAACGAAAGACGACTAACGTGATGCAGATGATCGCTCCAAGCATCCTTTTATGCAAGGAATCCTAAGTGGATTTGTTTCGAGGTTAGGTGATGTCTCCCCAAGTGCTGAACGGTGGATTAGACACCGACATCGTACTTATCATGAGGAACAGGTGGATCTAGGGAGTGGACTCGCAGTCTCACCTGCATCGGAGTGATTTATACCTTTCGCGTACATGTAATTACATTAATGCATGGAATGAACATAGATGCTTACGATGTATATTTTATACGTTTATTCAGCCAAACACAGAAGTGATTGGGAAGAGGTGGCTCGAGATCATCTTAAAGAAGTACGCTCCATTTTGATTTCACGAAATCCTGACTAGATTCGCACAAAACGTAATCATCAAAAAAGGTTTAAAAGTGACTCTAAAATTACTTGAAGCTGTTCGTATCCATCGAACAAATCGACGAATTTCACATCTCCGACGCGTGACAGTGACGGATCGAGACTTCTCAAGTAGTGCCACTTGATGATTAACGGACTTTTAATTAAGGCGGCTTATTAATGCCCCTACGAATGTCATTCTCAACCAACGTTTCTTCAAGTTCTTTTCGACTATATTGAACAGAAAAGCGCTTTAAGACCTCTGACCTGAGTTATGGAAGCGAAGGCGTGTCGCGATAAGGCAAGATCTGATCCTGATATCGACAATTCTCGGATATTATTAGCTTGCCTGGAACAATACGTGCTCAGCAAATCCTTATGGTACAACTTATTCTAAACAAAGATTACAAGGGGGAGTCGGACCTACCGAAATGCTCCACCATGAACTCTTTGAACGGGTGTTCGATGAAAATGTATCTTTACACCGAGCTCATTAGCGATGCCGGAAAAAGTCGACTTAGGAATTTCGTTCAGACGTGGACAGTTGGTAAAGCTGACCAGCCTGATAATTAGGAAAGTTGAAGATATAATCACAGATTTTAAAAGAGGACGAAAGTAATTCAAAAAACACCATAAGAGAGAAAACGTCGCGGGAAACTTTACAGGATGTCTTCGGAAGGATCAGAAACGGTGGCCTGCTTTTTTAGATTTTTAAGTAGAAAAGTAGGGCTCCCATTTTTCGTCGAGCAGGGTTACATTCTAGAATATGGAGAATTTTAGAAGGACTCGCAAAAAATTCTGATAGTTGTGGAAGAGATCGATCAGCTGATTAAAAATGAAATTCTCTGATGAACACGGAATATCTGCAGCGATAACTAATGGAACTTTGGCTAATTTTTCCTAATTACTTCCTCAAGTGTTTTGGAATGATTCGTTCATTCTTTTGTCGTTCTGCGTGAAGCGGTGAGCAGTTAGAGGAGACCCGGTTCCTTTCTCTCACCCTTCCAAAATAAAAGTTTCTGAGCATGTTTTCATGAATGTCGTGACTGCCAAGTGTTTCGAACTCAATGCCTTGAAATTTTTATTGTCTAATGGTGTCGTTTGTTGCTTTCTCGGCAGGCGGTCGTCCCAATCTCAAAGCGCTTGTTTCCAACAAGCGGCACAGGAAATCGTCGGCGAAGCGCTATTTTGCTCATTTCCAACAAGCACGCAAATACACGTAGACATACATACGCCCGTACACACTTGCCTACGTACATACTCATACATCACACTTACACATACATATATATATATATACACACACCACACACACATATACCCACACATACAGCACACATACACACCACACACCCACCCACACACACACACATATATATATATACCCACACATACACATACACATACAAACACACCACTCACACACATACACATACAAACACACCACTCACACACATACACACACATACACATACACATACGCATAAACACAAAGACACACATAAACTCTCGCATCACTTCACATGTTTTCCGGTTTTCCACAACTGTGGCAGCTATGCGATAAGCTGCTAGCCGTGGTGATTGCGTGTGATCGCCACAAATTAAGTCGTAATTGCGACTTGACCTTAAAGATGCAGTTGATGAGCTCCACAGGTCGTTCATGCGAAAATAATTTGATAAGAGCCTTTTTAAAATCAGGCTTTTAGTACTGTCACGGCAAAACATTACCATTACAATGACAATATGACGATGACGTAGCGCATGTACAAAATATGTATTTAGATCTATAAAAAAAACAAGAAAACTGTCGCAACAAAAGATAGAAGCCATGAGCAGAAGAATCGCCATGTTTTATCCATGAGGTAAATGTCTAGCTTATTTTTCGTTGTATGCCGTTAGATATGCCTATAGAGATCCAGTAGTAGTTAAACACCTCACTGCGATTGAAAGCTGCTCCTGGCGGTGTTACTATTATACTATGGACAACCGAGCGTCCATCTCGACGGCACGGTCTTAAAATGAAAACGAAGTCTGAGATTTCATCGGCAAATCCAGCCAAGAGTAAATCTTTCTAACAGCGAAAATTCCTGAGCTAATATCGGATGTGCTTTCACAAAAAAGTAGAGACATAGAGCCTCATAGCACAACTTTGATGCTATTTACCTTCTTGGATTAGCGAATTGGCCTTGCCAAGCGGTTCTGAAGCGCCAAAAAAATTGATGATTTTCATGCGTCATGGTGATTACAGTTGGATAACAGCTGATAATGTTATCATGCCGTATATAAGGGTGCATGTACTTTTGTGAATTAGATTAATTCAATTAGCTTGCGTTGCACATATCGATAACTCAGCTCAGACCTATGTCTTGATGGGGGCTATCCTTAACGATAAGATGGAGTTGTTTTCATGAATGACAATTGACAAATAACTAACTGAATAACTCGATGACTTACGAAGGCTTTAGTTTAAAGCAATGTCAACTATTATTGCGCTTTTAAGTGTTAAAAAACCTCGCAGAACTGCTGTCACTAGAAAAAATTGTAGAAAAGAGGATATGTAACGAAAATTTCCACAGCTATTACCTTTGATGTGCATTTTTCTTGAGTTTTTGATGGATTCAAAACTTAAGAGAGGGATAAGAAAAATCTATTTGATCTGCTTGGGCTGGAAATCTGCCAATGCCAAAAAGTGCTTGAGTCAGTTCCAGAAATTCGATAAATTTGCAGAGGACGGGTGGATTCGAGTGATTATTCGACCGATTAAATTGTTCTCAGCTTCAATAATTATTTAGGCATAACAAGTTCCTGCTCAGAAAGCAAAGAAGAGAAGGAGAAAAAAAATCGATTTCCGGCATGTTTCTAATAATAATCAAGAGATTTAAGGAAGGTGAGAAATATTTTTGCGCAGCTTCAATAAAGAATTTTGTAACAACGTCGTGTAAGGTTAACAATACAACAAGGTATTAAAAGTCAGAAGAAACATCTGTCAATCTTAGAAATGTGGGACTGAGAAATGAGGCTAACCTAAGCTTCTTCATGCTTTTGAAAGCGAATTTTTCCAAAAATATGAGTTGATCACAGTTCTCAATGTGGATCTCTCGAAGGCGATCCATTCGTCGGAATGCTTGCTTCGGTATGGACCGTATGGAGGCGTTCCTGATCACTAGCACCTCGAATCCAGATGGAATTGTGTTGGGCAGGGTGAGAAGCGTTGATCCGCTGCACGTTACCTGGAAGAATTCATTCAGAAACATAGCACGAAACATTGCCAACGCTCAGTGAGTGTCTGGTGCAACTATACTTGTAAAGAAATGGATTCTGTAATTGATCAAGATTTTACGACTAGAATAAATACGTTGAACGTTAAATCATAAAATCTACTTAGTGAAGGAATTTATTTCAATTTTAATTCTACAAAAATAACCACCTAAGCAGAAGCTTTTCTTTTATTAAAATGAGCTGAATATCTCGTGCGCTGTGATCACCGCTATCCCATGTTATCTCCCGTGCTGAAGTTATTCAATATTAATAAGCTCCACCGTCTGTCTTTCATAGGGACAAAGGCCTTTGGGTGCTCCTACTTTCTACCTTGCTTAACGATCCCCTAATAAACAGAATTAAAAAAAGTACTGAGGCATTTCTGAATTCGCTGTGACTATTACCCTTCGCTCTAACCTACGAACATGATTATTCTCGTACGACAGCATCAGCAATATCCGGGTTTTGCCTCATGACAAGAAGCAACCACTCTGAGAGTAGAGCACTATTCATTCTCATGTTTAACAAGAACTAGTCGCTCTTCACCAATGCGTCTTGAGGTAGTGGCTATGATCTCGCGGCTTGGATTACTAGTAGCATTCATCTCCTTTATATCAGCCCAAAACTTCATTCAGTTTATCTCTTCTTTCCACGCTTTCATATAGTCCACACACACGGGCTTTATAGAGCCCTAAAAAAGGATTTTTTTCAGGATTTCTGTCAATATAACGTCTTGCTTTTCTGATCCCTAATTGATATGAAACAGCTCTGTGCCGAATTCCCGACATTGCAGTCTAGACTGTGTTAAACGTTAAGAACGCTGTCGTACACGCGTTCAGTTTTTGAGTCAATCATTCGTCGACGCCAGATTGCATTAATTGGATTATGGGAGCAGAGCGTGCACACTTCGAGAGAATATGCTGAATGTGAATCGGAATTCACGTCAATCTTAATAACTTGTCAAGAGTGCCAGAATCACATCAGGAATCAATGGCTTTAGTGAAAAGTCTTGTACGAGTCATCGGATTTTCGTATAATAAAAGCTGTTCAGCAAAAAGACATTCCGAAACAAACAAGAAGTAGACAGAAAAAGATCTGACCCCAACGATCTTGGTGCTCCATGTTTTTTATACCCTTTTGGGACTTGATTGCACAGAAATTTATTGCACCAACTTTGCATTCACTGTGTGGGACGTGGAGCACTCCAATGGAAAAATATTAGAAAAGGTCCATGGATGCTGGCTGCCCTGTTCATGAAGCGAAATCACTACATGAAACGCCTTAGAAGAAGTCTATAAGTAACATAGAATTGATTTCTGACGTACGTCAAACAATAGCGTAGTCGACATTCTACACCATCTGCTGTTAAGCGTTATTTTTCTTCCAACTTCTTCATCTCCATTACTGCATCTCATGGCCAAGTTGCAGGGAAAAAGTAGACTAAAAAGATTTTTAATGAGCTAAAACGATGCCAATGACTAATCCAGCAAGTGACTGGGTAGCATCGGAGAAAACACTATTGAGCCAGCTTTTGAAGGCACACCTTGTCTTAGGAGAAGAAGAAACCATAAGATGATTCAAATTGATCGAAGAAAGTGATTCTTCTCTCCAACGACTGCCTTTGTCGTCGATAGAAACTTGTTGGTAAAAACGCAGAAATGCAAATGAGCCCCCCCGAAGGAGTGCTTGCAGTAAAAAGTGAGCAAGCAATGTTTGAAGGTTTACAGTGATCTAGGAGAAAAGAAGGAATAGTTGATGGCAAAACGAACCTTGATCCAGTATCTATTAATATTACTAAAAAGTTCTGCCAAAAAACATCTTAATCACTTGATAGAAGGCAAAGTGATTCCGTCTGCACTTTAGCTGCAGTTCAAAACATGAAAAACCGTAAGCATTGGCCTCAATACACGCCATTACCGAGCGTTCACTTCGCCGCAAAGAGCTTACTTACTATAACTTTGCATAAAATCGATTGCTTATTCAAAGCAGACGTTCCGTCACATGTATGTGTTTTATAAGAAGATCTTCTCGACATTGAATAATTTACAAGAAACCTTCCCTGGACGAGTTTACCAGTCAGACACGTACCATCTTTCCTAATTGGCAATGACATTAAATTAGTCGTAGTCGTATGTGTTTTAGAAAAGTGCTTAGCGATGTTTTTTAAACCAGTGCATAGAATGACACTTCACCAAATCGAGTAAATTTTCCACAAATGAGTAACCTCTTCAGTTTCATTTTCCCACAACGATGTTGAGATATTTGCAAAACTCCGAACCGCAGGTGTATGCGGTGGGAAACGAACGCGCTATTGTCCTTTCCGGCGAGTAACGCGTTCACCACCACACCATATGGGTCCTTCGTTTCGCCTGTCTCTCAGCTAGTTCTATCAAAATAAAAATGCATTTCTGTAGTTGCGATAACCTTAAATAAGAGCGAAAATACTGCGAAGAAAAGTTCTGTGTGAAAAAATGGCTGATAGATGCCTATAAAGCAGAAATTAGAATGAAAAACTACAACAGTCCTTCCCTCTTATAGCTGGTAAGCCCACAGAATTTTGTTTATGTCAAGATTAGCATTCCTTTGCATAGCTTAGTTTACGATTTACATAATCATCTATATGAGTAATAAAAAAGCTCTAAAGAGATTTGGAGAAGAGTTACAAAGAACTTTCTTAGCAATTTTGATGAGGAAAATCTTCTAATAAAGAAAATTACCGTAGCGATGTCTATTTCGCATTTACATTCATCAGGACAACCAGCGTAAACTGAAGGATTGATAAGTTGGTAGATGAGGATGGAGATGACCAACGCTGTCATTTCATCTGATCCGTGGCAACAACGATGATGATGTACTTGTTTCTCCACGGATCCTTGAAACTTCAACTACGAATCGGATCCATCTCTGGAATAGTCAGCATAGCTAAGTAACAGTGAGCAATGAATAGTGAAACTAGCAAGAGGAAAAAACCCCGAAGCGGAGAAGACAACAGAACATCTCCCTTGCACTCGATGTCCCTCTTGTTTTTTGTTCTTATCATTGTCATTCGACATTAACTTCATTCAACTAGTTTTTCATTTTCAAATTAAATAAGACAGAACACTGATAGCTGAAGATGTTAGAAGATGCAAAGGAAAACTGCACTGAACAATTCAAAACGTTTCAGTGACTTCACAAAAATTATTGCGACATGTTCGAGATGAAAAGGAAATGAAGAAAACGCACTTACTGCCCATCAGATAACTTTACTTGAAAAAGGTTAAGCCTCATGTAAAGCTTCGTTCCCATAACCGCCCTTTCAGCCGAAGATTGCAGGATTTCAATCAAATATTAAAAATGTGTCGCCCTTTCTCATTTCTCGTGGACGATTGATTTTTATAACTTCAAGTAAAAGATGTGATGTGTCCTAATAATCTATAAACACTAATTTAACATCATGTATTCGCCCTAAAGAAGTGAACTGTTAAGAACAAACATTATTTGTCAAGTGAGGCTTATTCGAACGTTTTCCAGAAAAAAAAACATGAAATGGACTCAAAAGACAATATTGTAATTGAAAGGGCTTAAAAAGCCTAAACAAGGGGTTCGGTGGTGTAGTTGGTGGTACGTGATGCCCAGGAAAGAGTAATCACGAGTTCGAAGCTGCTCTGGGAACAGAGTTTTGAAAATATCTCAACATCATTGTGGTTGTACTTCACTCTTGAAACTCTTTGGTACCGATTTCACCTCTAGTGCAAAATGATCACATAAAATCCGGCAAAATGACCTGTAGATGGCGGTGGCTACCCATAGATAATCAAGAATGTAATTTGATCGAATGCAAGAAGAAGAAAAAAGCCTGGATCGGTTTGAGGTCAACGGTCATGTGACCCGTTCGTTCCGCCACTGGAAAACCTGCGACTGGAATCGGGGTGACAGAGACGGAACAGTTGGCATGTCATGACGGCAGAGTGCCCAGTATAGTCGAATTAAATCCGTTCGTCCTGACTCATAACTAACTCACTGCCGTTCTTGACTGTGTGAGAATTTGATGTATATCGATTTGTTTCTGTTTTGTCATCGATTCCTTTTCTTTCTTGCCGAGTCATAGGTTCCCTTAACACTGACAAATTCAATTTTGAGTTCGCTTCTTTTTTTCAGGGAAATTTTTGCCTCTCTTCTTCTAACAATAGTTTACACTTCATTTTCTTCTGCTAGATCACTTAGAAATCTCAAAGAATGAATCTGCTTACCACCATCTAGTAGAGTTGTAATAAATGAAAAAGAAAATTTATTGCCCATGACACTCCTAACGAAAGGGCTCAAAACCGTGAAGCGTGGTCGTTATCGATCTCTCCGATATGACAAGAGGTGCAAATCTTCTAAGCCTTTAAAATTTTCAAGCACCGATAGAGAGAATAGAGGCTGCTGGCAAATACGGTTACATAAATCATATAAGCACATTTTTTCCCTAAGGAAATTTAGTTATTTCCGCTGAAATTACATGAAAAGAGGATTAGGCGCGATGTGTAGCCCATTACAGGTCTTTAGACTAATAGCTGTAGTAGTAGTAGTGCTGGAAGATGCCTTGTTGCAAGTCGGCAACCTTCCATCGGATTCATAGATGTCGGCGCCGGGCTATGGAGACGGTCTGCCACAGCTAGACTAGCTCAGGATACGAGAAAAAACAGCGCTTAACCATCATCATCATGTCAGTGAGAACAGAAGACGACAGATTTTCAAGTCACTAACCATTTTAAACATGACTGGTTCTTTTACAGTGATTTTTACGTAAGGTGAAAACTGATCATCAAAGGTAAATTCAAGTTATATGGGTACGCAAACACAAGAAAGGAGATGTGTGTTGTCAAAATATAGTTAAACAACTGTCAAATCCCATACAACGCTTATCCGTCCCACCGTCGGCTATGGGAATTTCTGGATGATGTATTCCGACACGCAGCAATTTTTGGATATTGAACTACGATATTGAGGCTTGCGTGAACTGAATGATTCTGGATGGGAATGTACTCAATATTTTCACCTGGAAGCTCCACCAAATGTACTCTAGATGAACGAAAATTCCCCTCTAACCGATCTGGGTTGCCGACCGAGTGTGGCGACCACTTGATAACTTCCTAGCTAGGTTATCACAGAATTGCTGCAGGGGAAAACTTGTCCAGTAAGAAAAACACTTGCTTTACACGCTAAGGAAAATTGTATTGTATTGAGCAGAATCACTGAACACGACAAACAATGCCATCATTTAGCCACCTACGACTTTGTATTTTTCAACCACTTGATGAAAAACTCCAGCGGTAATTAAGAAATGAAAACTAAAATGAGTTATTACGATAAAAACCCTAAAGGCAAAGAAGAAGGAAAGAAAGCACAATTAGTTAGAGTCGCAAAAAAAATCTTTTGAAAAAATTTTGTACTATTGCAAATAATCCGAGGAAAAAATGTTGAAGGTGTTTAAAATTAACCTGCTAAGAGGGCAGCAGAGAAAGGGAATGTACAATCGCGACGACAAGTTTCCGGGTATATGTGGTGTGTACACAGACTTAAGGTGCCCTTTTGATGGATGTTGACCAACCAGGCCCGAGATCAAGTCTGCTTAGCCATTTCGTCAATTAATTCAGCATCAACTAGATGTGTAGCCAGAAGAAAGTTCAAATCTCGTGAATGATTTTTAAAAAACGACTGATTTCTCCTTCCGCTAGAGAAACAGACAAGTTCAAAGGAAAAAATCATGCATCAAGAATAGAATGGCTGCTAAACGGTTGTTCTGAAAAGTGATTAAGTTCAGACTTTCGTGATTTGATGACCATTGGTCAGTCAAGTGTGAAGACGCAAAGCGGTGGTGGCTCTACAGCGACAAGCCGACCTCGTCAGTCAGCTGGCAGCTGTCGAAAGTAAGGAGAGGATTTGTGACGAGGGCGGAGCCAGAGTGCTTCACTTCACTACATCCTGGGAAATTTTAAACAGGAAAGGACAATGTCCGAACTTTTATTTACTGCCCATTCTTTTTTCATAGCAAGGTACGATATTAACTACAACACAGGGGGTTTCGCTCATATCTCAGCATCTTTGTGGTACCTGAGGTACCTTCCTCGCATCGTACCCTGCAATGAAAAAGGAATAGGCACTAAAATGACAAGACATTGTGGGTTCGACTATTTTCGTTTTTAATTAATTAGGTTCAGTGCCGATTTGTGTTCTCCAGATAATTGCCATCGACGGATGAGGGTGGCGCAGGGATTAGCGATGCCGTTGATCCGGTAGAAAAGGCAGTAGTTCGACCTCCTTGCCCCTCTTTCCTCCAATCAGCGTGTAAACACCTTAACCCTGCCCCCTCTAAGACTTCAAGGAGAAAGGACTTGACTAGAATTCTGCGACATCCATAAAAAAAAATGAAATCCTCAATCCTTATCCAAAACAACGGGCGAAATTTCCGAAAGGCTTTGTGGACGATGAATGCGAAGAAGGACGAATCGATTGCAAGAAGTACTGAGATCCGCACAACAGATGTGGCGGTAGGTCACGTGAAAATTTAAAAGCAATCCTTTCACCATTTCCTTTTTTATGACCCAAATTCACGTCTACTGTACGAATCGTGGTACTAGGGGAGAGTGTAGCGCAGTGGTTAAAAGTGCCGTGCGAAGCACACCTGATTTCTAATGCGATTCCGCGTCTCAGGTTCACCAAACCCTTTGTCTCTCCGGAAGCGGCAAATGGTAGCAGTCTTGTCTGGTAGGGCAGTACAGTGGACTTGATACTTCGGTGGGTAACCATGGTTCATCTTTTGTATGGGCCGTATAATACTTTCATTCGCCACTAACAATGATTGACGAAGTAGAATTCATGGACGCATCCATCAGTCATTGAGCAACGCCGAGAACTTTTTAGAGTTTCACTTCTAGCGATTCTTGAACTCGATTCGTTTCCTAGCATTCGTTATCAAGGAGTATTTTCGAATTGCGCGTTGGTTCAGCACCAATTGAGGATCTCGTCGTCTTCATAAATATCCTTTCATGTTGATCAAATTAATTAGGCCTAGAACATTAGGAAAACTGGTGTAGGGCGCGGCTTATATCTCCACGTCGGACTCAATCACCACCTTTTGTGGATTATTGTAAGGTTTCCTGGAGAAGTTTTGGGACAGGTCAACCTTACAGGGATGGGGGCATTTCGGCCTTAGACAGGGTCGAACGAAAAACCACACAACCACACCCATATTTTCCCTCGGCATTTGCATCCTTTTAGTTCAGTATTTAATTTAATTAGCTATCATAAGTTTGCTTATAATTTTCTAACCTGCAAAGAACTTTTGCTTACACTGTGAGAATTTCAATTAACTTCTTTCAATTTCGCACACTGCTTTTGGACATTAAAGGCGATTTCCTGAAATGTCTGTTCCATTAAATATTTGGATGGAGAAAATGAAACACATATAAGAAAAATGGGTGAGACAACTTAGCTTGTTACGTGCCTATTTCTAATAATCCATAGTGCTATTCCTATCATTCATGGATGTGTACCAAAACTGAAACAATACGGAGTTTGGACCCGTGTAACGCAATGGTTGTAGGTGTACTGCAATACGTGGTCTTTGGTTCCCATCCCACGCCTCACGCTTCACAAGTCCTCCATCTCATCTTTGTCTGGGAAGAAAAAGCAGCGCTGACTTGATGCATTAGTAGGTCACCAAAGGTCTACTGCATAGGGCGAATATGAAGTGAGCCACCTCTAAAATACTTACAGGTGTCGAAAGCATTCGTGGGCGATCCCTTAGCAATCGACCAACGGCGAATGCTTTATCTTTCTATTCTTTTGTAAA